TAGAAAAAACAAGGAAAAAAATAAGTTAACACCTTTTTAAGAATTATTGTCTATAAAGAGCCATGATCATATGTAAATGAAAAAAGTGTTATCAACAAAAAAAAACATAAATTTCATTTTCTCCTCGTTTCTAATTATAATAAGAAACTCTGAGGTTTTCTGGGATGAAAGAAATCTATTTCTGGATATTGTCATATTTTTTTGCTGCGATAACTTTGGATTTATTGATGTTTACTAACAAAGTATTAGTTTCGGGTTCAGACCTAGTCATCTTTCTGTTTTTCCGTATATCAACTCTTTTCCAATCCTCGGCCGCATCGAACGAATATTTATATTACACCGAACTTCCCTAAAAAAAGTCCTAGTTTTCGTGGCAATTCCTTAATATCAGTAAACTTATCGGCCTTCCTTGTTATGTTAAAAGGCGTCGTCTTTCTTGCTTCAGTCATGATTGACAGGCATTGATCAACAGAGTAAATATTTTGATGTTTCCTAATCGCCTTTTTTACAGTAGCAAAATCTCTGTCAGAGTCGATGAACTTGTGATGAATTTTCTTAAATCTGCCAGATTTTATTAAATAATGCCAGACACACAATGAAAAAGTTTTTGTTCTGACTTCCTACAGAGTCACTCCATGCTATTAGGTGACCAAAACTTTCATTTCCTTCTTTAATATTTATTTATTTTCAAGAAATGCTAATATTGACCTACCCATTTTCCTCAGGTCCCCGAGATCCTTCATCTTCGGTGCAAATATGAAAATACCTTTCACCGTTCTTTTGCTGTGTTGAAACTGAATGAACTCCTAGATTATAGAGCCATACTTGCCGTAAGTAAAAAGCTTTACCAGTAGAAATTTTTGGCAAAGGAAGTGTTTTCTGTAAATCGAAAGTAATATAAAGGATTTTATCGTTACTCTTTTGTTGTTCAAAAGCTTTTTTAAATTTGGTAACATGCTCTGCATTCTCTTCCACATCACATATTTTACAAGTATCGGTTTTGGAAGAACCAAATCCAAAATTAAAATCATTTGCAAAAATATTTCTGTATGTGGCAAAAGAAACAGGAACAACGTTTTGTGCTGCTAACTGTTCTTTGTATAACTCATACATCTTTCTAATGGATAACCAGAGTGAAAGATACATTCGATTTGGATTTTTATGTCTTGAATAATGGGACTTCTCGAAGGGAAAAGATTTAATGTGCTCGGCTACAGAATGTCGCTGTTCTTCAGAAGTTTGATTAGGTCTGTTGTGATGGCGACCCCTTTCATCTGGTTTCGAAGTTATTCTACCAGCAGATATTTGGTTTCTAATTAAATCGAGTTTCTTACGCCCAACGCTTAACATTGCCATTACAGCTTCCTTACACACTTGTCGGCGTTCACCTTCTGCTGTTAAAAAATGCCTGAATGATTTTTGACGCTGTTTTTTAACACCAAATTGCTGCTTGGCGGAAAATGGCTCAAAAACTCCAAAAAAGATAAGAGTTTTTTCAGAGCCAGAATCTTCAAATGGATCGGGTAGTTCATCGTACAAATAATCACGCAGCAAGAGTACTAAATATTTTCTTTGTTGTATCTTTTATTAAAAATTCACAGTTTTCGCAATCCTTATTGCAACCAGTGGACACCAAACAATACTATTATTATCGACATTCAACTAAATAGGCAAAATATACTTCTAAATTTCGATGCACCTCCCTAACACAACCCCGCAACACCCGAAAATCAAATTCCAACAAAACAAACACTGCAACCGGCACCGCTGATCCGCCGATGACTTCGACTTTTTTCGACTTTGAACGAACAACTCTTAACTTGGTCCCATATACGAACAAATATTTGAGTTGACACGTTTTTACAAGATGAAATTACTTGTTTAGTAGAGATTACCCGCCTACGAGAATTCGGCGCCATCTATGACTCGAAAGATTTACTAACAAACAGAAAACGGAGTTAACACCTTTGATGGCACGAAAAGTTTTTCTAAGTAGAAATATCTACGGAACGCAAAGGGACGAAAATCGTCTGCAATGAATTGTGGTGTGGTATTGTTTTTGAACGGCAGAGCGACTTGATAACGACGGCTATCAGTTCTGACATGAACTTCAGAAAAAATTGTTTCACATAATTCGTTTTCTGCTGAATCAAATGGGAGTTTAGTTATTTCTTCTGATTCCCAGAGTCTTTTTTGAATACATTTTCCAGTAAAATTGTGTCGCCTTTTAAAATCGAAGAGAAAAAGACATGTTTTGTAATTCGGAGGTAAAGCAATTTTTCCCGAAAGAACCCAACCAAAGGCCGTCAGAATGGAGACTGGTTCGTTTTGGTTTACCCATTAGACAACCATCTGTTAATAATAGTAGGGGAATAAATCTGCCGACGAGATATGGGCAATATGTGGCCAAGAAACATTTTTAATCCTTATTGCGTCCACCCTAAAAGTGGGTGAATTTTGGCCGACCGGTTTAAGGGTGCACATGACACCGCCTTTATAAGTGGCTTTCGTCATACCGCTTAAACTGTAGCTTGAGAGAGAGCAGTCAAATCTTTTTAAATTCAGTTTTATAACGTATCTTTCCGAAATATATGTCAATTGGCTTCCGCTATCTAGTAGTAATCGGACCCGTTGGTATCAGAGACCTCAGCGATAGCAGTTGACAATAAGGTATTAGCTATGCTAGCACTAGCACCGCATAAGTAATTGATTGGACGGAATGTTGGTCATGTGTTTGATTCTGAGTTTGGACATTTGACCTCACTGGCGTAGACGAACTATTTGTCGGATTTCGATTGATATGGATTAAGCTATGATGCTTTTGGCAACAATAATGACAAGTATGAGTAGAATTGTTTAATTTTGTTTTGTTTGTTTAGTCGTTAAATTTTGGAAACTAGTTACAGCCATTTTGACTTTCCATTTCAAACCGATTTAGAGTATCCTGGTCGAGATGTTTGAATAACATATTAAATATTAAACAATCCATTCAGGAAAAGCTAGATTTTTCAGAAAAGCGAGGTTTTAGAATTTTTAAAACTGTCCGCGAAAGCAGCGTTATCAATTGATTATAAGTGGGAGAATGCAATCAATCGACAGAGCAATCGGCAAATGCCTTTAGTTTTGTCATTTGATTCAATCTCATTTAGCGTAAGGTTTTAAATTGTTTAATTTTGCTAGCGTTGGAACCCATGTTGACAAATAATATATGCTAAAGACTCAGATTTAAGAGAAACGAAAAAGCGCCAATCAAAAAAGGTTTAAACTTTGCAACGCGGCCTTGAATTTATGCTGCGATTTAAATCGCGTTTGAACAATAATCGACAATAGAGGTAGAAAAAATTTTAATTACTTGAGTAATACCAGGAAACTTTTATTTTGTTATTTAAGTATCTTTCGCAATTGTACAACTCCCAACATAATACTCTTACTTTGATTTAAATAATCCAATTTTTAAAAACCAAAAGGTTTCCTATGAACTATTAGGGAGAATCTCGAACAATCTCGAGTTGCTTTATTTAAAATTTTGTTATTAACTTCAGGTTAATAATACACCTCGAGGATCAATCAGACATTTTGAAAATGAACTGATAATTCCTAAAATCATCCCTACAAAATCCGCTTAAGTCACAAACTGAGACCTGGTGATGAAATTATTATAGCCTATTGGATTTTTGTAAATGGCCCTAAAATCAGCTTGAAGCAGGTCCTTTAATAAAATTTATTGAACAGATGAATGTAGTTTTACAACTCACTTGTTAAAGTGGGAGAATAGAGTGTGGTGTAGGCTTCTGGGTAGCTGTTTATTTTATTGTTTAACTTCTATTTTACTTAGAGGAGACAGGTCAAAATAGAACACTTCTCGTACGTAGCGCAACCCGGTAACGAAGTGGTTTTTATTTGACATTGTTTCCTTAGATCATGTGATCCAAAAGTACATCATAGTATAAAAATAAAACCTAAAGCCATCACGGTATATAGAATTGACACAATATGATCATGTTACTGTAGCTTAACCTCTAAAAGATGTCAACAATTTATATATTATCGATCAGTTTGATGACGAACCATTAAACACACGATGAACGGCAAATTAAACCATTACATACATTATTTCCCCATAAGTGTATAGAAAATCATGGACCTGTACGATGACCTGCCAGAAGTGCAGATATATATCCACTGGATTACTTCTTATGGGCGTATGGGACATAAATGAACTAAAACTCAATTTAGCTCGAGAAAGTAGAGCTATTCCTTTTTAATTCAATTTTTAATCCAATTAGGTATCAGCTACTTTAAAATAAACTGTTCTTTGCGCTTTTCATGAAGAATGCGTAGAAATTTTAACTAGAAGTGGCTACGTACTAACCTATGTGCAATGAGAAGATTCGACAAGTTGAAAGGAAAATCGAATTAACACTAAAAGTATCAAGCTTTTTCTAAATCCTAAGATAAAATAATAAAAAATATATCTTTAAAAAAAACCGAAACTGCATATTTGGCGGAGTGAATAACAACTTTCCTGCAAGGTTCTAATTCTTTTAATGACCTATTGGACCTTTGACCCAGAGTGTGTGTCTCCAAAATTACTGTAAATACCGTAACGAGAGCAAGCAGTTGCCTGGCACCTTTAAAATTGGATGTTTGACGTAATACGTACCTACTTATCCCAATAATTAGCATACTAGTTTCGAGGTGACGTCACTTCAAGCAGAGAGCTAGTGAAAATAAATAATCGAACGTTAACCCTTTTCTGTACCCTTCGGTCCGTGGGATTACCTAATGTTAAAGATTCCGTTGAACACAGATTGTAAGTAACTATAAAATGTCAATTCTTTGGGTTTAGAGTCGTTCACACAAATCCTGATTTGCGGTCGCCTCAGATCAATAGGACAGAAATTTTGACAACGGAAGGGTTTCTAAGAAACCAACCATTACGTGTTCTGTGGTGCATCATAATTTTTAAATACCCAATTGCTTAGTAGTCTGTGCTTAGGTCAACTATTCTAAGGTTCCTAGCAACATGGTGAAAACGTGCTGAGTTTGTGTGTTACATTGTTAAACATGGAAATTGTAAATGGAATTTTACAAAAGACTGTTCCGGGAAGGCCTAAATCCATTACAGTAGAAAAGCATATAGATTTGGATTACGATTTGGGAAATTTGTTAGCGTTGGACGCTAATGATGTCACAAACCCACTACTCAAGTAATAGTTGGTGTACATTTTTCTTGTTTGATGGTGATGGATTGGTTTATATTTTAGGTCCGATAGAAACGAATTTTTCTTGCAATTAGCGCGTGATAATACACAGCTCCTGCTAAATGAAATCTGGGATTTACCTACAGAGAAGGTAGATGAAGCTCTGATGGTGAAACTACCAGTTCCAAAATTAAGGCTGCCAAGGATGAAGCCCATACCAAAGCCAAAGCCTCTTACGAAATGGCAAAAATTCGCTAAAGAGAAAGGCATTACTAAAAAGAAAAAGAGCAAGCTCTTGTGGGACGAACAACTCAAAAAGTGGATTCCAACTTATGGGTTCAAGCGAACGAGAGCGGAAAGGGAAAAAAATTGGGTGATGGAGGTGCCCACCAACTCTGATCCTATGGAAGACCAATTTTCAAAAAAAATGAACAACAAAAGTGAAAATGTTGCTAAAAATGAGCTGCAGAGATTAAGGAATATTGCTAAAGCGAAGAAAGTTAAAGTGCCCCGAGTTGGAGTTTTAAATGCAGATGTCTCTTCAGCAAAAGATGTAAGTTTTCTGTAAGAGTGAGAGCATTTGATCAGAACTGTTGTATAAGTTATTATAGCTAATTTGTGAATTTACTATAGCTTCAGATCACAGTGGAAGGCTGGAACACTGTTCAAACACAATAAATCCTAGGCAAACTGAAAATTGTCTTTAGCAATGTAATTTTTTTCTCTTCAGTTGCAAGTGGCCGTCACGGTGGCCAAGGCGTCAACAGCAAGTTTGGGACAGTTCCAGAATAAATTGCCAAAAGAAAAAGAAGCCAGAGGTGTGTCAGCCATTACTCCGGGTGCTTCAAGGAAGAGAAAACTCGCACCCATATCAGCAGCATTGGAAAAGGATGAACAATTGATCATCGTTGACTCTATTTTGAGTAAAAGACCCAAGTTGGACGTTACGAAGGTTGTTTCAAAACACTCCCCTGTCCCCAGGTATTTTTTTTTTTAATTTTAATTGGTTAGAACAATTTTACTTAACTTATATTTTTGGCCATTGGCATGTATTTTTTTGTATAATTGACAATGATAGTTGCAACTGACAAATGTTTTATTAAAAATGGAAGAAGAAAGAAATGAAATGAAAGGAAATTATTAATAATTAATAATAATCATTAACCTATTGAATAAAATGCCCTTTTGCCAATTTCGTATAAGACAGCAAAATCGTGATGAGTTTAATATCAGAAAAGCTCTCTTTTACAATAAAAATAGTAAATTTTCTCAAGCATAAACAAGAAAAAATCATCACTTTTAATTTTCTGTTTTCGTTATTTTGGGTTTTCATTAGTTTTCTGAGACCTTTTTGCACCAGAAATATTAGACTATACCAAAAAAATCGATTATTTGCAGCTATGAGAAATATATAAATAAAATTATTCAGAATGAAAAAAAAAATCTTGAAAGTTTGACTCCTTAATATTTAATGGGTATTGTATTTTTAGCTAGAACTAATTTATCTGAATACATTTTCGTAGGGAATTTTTAGTTTTGAATTTTTCATTTTAATGGGAATTTAATATTTAATATTGATTACTTAATCTTTTTTTATAAAGATATTTTATTAAAAGTTATTATTGATTGAACTTGAACAAAAAATGAATTCCTGGTTTTATCCGTTTTTCACTCAATTGCTTTTACCAAATTATTATATCATGAATAGAATCGCTAAAAATAATTTTAAAAATAACAATTAATTAGGATATTTTTCACATTAGTATAATGTTGTATTTGTAAATTTGTAAATTTTGTAACTCTCCTCCCTTAACATACAAAATGTCTGAAATGTTATAAATAAATAATTTTCAATAATAAGATAAGATAATTGATAAAAGGCGGGTGACAACCATATTAATGGATAGTACAATGTTTGCTGTAATTTTAATAATTTAAAAATTCGAGAAAATATTGTTAAATATGGTTCCAAGGTTACAATAATACTGATTGAAACTCTGAGGGAAACTCAGTCATCAAATATTTTGGTCTGGGTATCACAATCGATCATGAGTTGAAACAAGTGTTAATGTTTTTAACAATGATTGATGATTTAATCCCCTTAAAAAGGCTTAAAAGGGATTGCCGAGTGTAGCATTGAGTATAATGTTTCTATTAAAACCTTCTATGTATTTTTGTGGTAGCAAAAAAATAATAATTTTACCCTTTTTTCCATTCTATTGTGGTACAGACAGGAAATGACAGAGACTAGTTCGAGACCAAAAGTGGAAAAAAGGAAAAAACAGAGCTCATCAAAATTGAAGAAGAAACCGAAAACTGTAAGGAACCAAAGACAAACTCGAAAAGGTGGCAGAAAGAGACGTTAAATTTAACAGGTAATATTTGTGCTTCTTTTTTTTCCTCTGGTGTTTCAAATTTAATATGCAAACGTTTTTCAATTTTCTAATTTTTTTGGAGTTATAATTTTAATTTCGATTTTCGCTGCTTCCCTTAAAGTGTAAGCTATGTGCTTTTTTACACGCAACAAAGCTTTCTGGTTAGTGCTAAAAATTGAAATGAAAATTTACTATGTTACATTCTAGTTATTTTTTTTAAATGTCCCAATTATACTCAGGTTTTATGCGGTCTAGTTTCTGAGATAGCCATTTTTATTTAGCAAAATGACAAATTACTGATGATTTACTTTGTATGAGAGGTGCAGTGAAAAAACTATATTTTTCCGAACTTTTGTTGGGCCCTATTAAAACGTTGAAGAACAAAGACTGCCAAAAAATATTAGTTTTCATTCTAGTGGATGTAAATATCGTGTTGATCGTTTTTCGTTGCTCATTTTTAAGGTGCGAATTTTTCCAACCTGCAAGATATTGACACCATGTCGTGTTTAAACATTTTTCATTGCTTTCTGTAAAAATGGACAAAATCTAGTAATTGTTTGGATTAAAAGATCCTACTGTTATTTATTTATTTTTTCTACGTGGTGGGTTAAAAGAACCAGATATTAGGTAAAATGTTAAATATTATTTTTAAAAATATGACTCAATCGCCACAAGTGCATTTAAAGATGAGTCACTTCAATTTTGACCCAAGTTTGGTACCAGCAGATTCCGGCCACGTGAACCACCATTTTCCTGTGAACGCAGACATTGCATTTTGATTAACCGTAGTTAATTTTTTTGCCAATGGTATTTCTGATCGTCCGTGATTCGTTTTCTTGCAACCTTTAGTACACTTGATAATCTGCCTTGCTATAATTAACTGTATCGCATTAAGTACAGTAGAAGCACTTGAAGCAAATTTATGTCATTTATTTGGTGCCTCAAAACAGTTTGTAAATCTCTACTAAAATATATTTTTAAACTTTGGAAAGCTCTTTAAACATCAACTTAAAGCCAGCCTCGGCCCTGTAAAGGTTGGCATCACATCTACGTCCTGCCGACACCCTGAGCCCTCCTTGCTGTGTTTCTGTCTTACATATTTTTGCAGAACAGTGTTTTTAATTTAATTTTTTGTACTTCGTTTACTGGTGCCTTAATGTTCTCATCATTCATTACTCATTTTTCATTATCGTCAGTTATCTCATTGTCACAATTTGGTTCTAATGTGGTAATGACAGCGATAACTGCGACTTGAATTCCATAAGCAAAGCAGAATTGGTGCTGCAGAGGTTGTATTAACCTCCCCAATTTCACCATTGCACAGAAACAATATCGTCTTTTGAGGCTAATCCTAATTGCTTGAGTTCAGTTTCATCAAGATTTATATGTATTTCTGCAGGTATAGATCCTTGATCCTATATTCTACATTCTGTTTCTGCATCGCTTATGTAAACATCCATTCATCCAATGTTAAGTTAAAACAACGAAGGATTTTAATTTTTGTTGCTTTTCTTCTTTTTGCCACCATATCGGAAGCCTGAAAGATGAACCCTTTCAGTTCCCTCTTCATCGATGACAACAATATCAACTTGGTGAACCTTGATGTCAGCATCATTTGCTGTTGGTCGGTACTGGTAGCTGAGTTGGCTGTCTTTTTTTTTCGGATTTGTTTATTGTTCGATATTAAAATATGTCTCCATTTTAATTTAAACGCCTGTAGAGACACCTAATGCGCAAATATCAGAAAGCAAGTGCAGGTCAGAGGGACACTCGGACTTTGAGCTTCACAAGTTTACAACTCAAATTTTCATTCTTTAATTTTTTTGCCACCTAGTTATTAATTACAACATACCTAAAGACTATTCACATATTTTCTGGATTCCTGCTGCGTCTGCGTGCCTCCTTCAGAGCTTAACTGCAACTGGCTCGCATTCTTCTCTGTACTTGCTTATATATTGTTTAATAGGGGTTGAGCTAAAGGAGGAGCGTGAACATTGTCTCGAATAACTGATTCCCATAATGGTGAAACGTGAAGACCTGAGCCGCTTTTAAGATTATGTGGTTGCCAATAAATTTCTATAGATTCTCGAATTTTTCTGTATCTCTCTACATAAATCTATGAGCAACTAAACCATCTTAATCACGACTCACCAATATGGGAATTAGTCTTCCGAGACAATGTTCATACTTAAGCTCCGCCTTCGTCAAACAGTATATAAATAGCTAGAAAATCAGTTTCAGCTAAGCTCTGAAGAAGCCAACAGGATTAATCAACAAACGACACAGAAGGAATACAAAAGACTGGTAAATTGTATTACAGTAGTCTGTGGAAGTTTCTTTGAAAAATTAACATACCTAAAGGTCTTTGATGATCATCAGCAATATAACCATCGTGCATAAGGTGCATGCTGGTCGCAACATGGCAAAGATTACTGAAACTTACTGAAAATTGTCGTCGCAGTTAGAATAAACTAACTTTTGATATTTGCGAATCTAATTTGTTTCATTGCTTACTATACAGACACAGAAAATTATATATACAAAATAAGACAACAGGTTAAGGAGTGGTTACTGTACTCCTTTAACATGAAATCATCAGTACTTTGTTTTCTGAATGAAAAATAAAATGAAACTGAAAAAAAGTACCTACACATCATTATAACGCTTTTTACAACGGTCGGTCGAAATTACAAATAAAAGCTGAAAATAGGTATTGAAACTTTTATACTCTATGGAAAAATTTACTTTATCACTTTCACTTTCAAAATTCAAATATAATGAATAGGTTGTTAAAAACGTTTAAAGCATATTATGGTAGCTGCTTCAACCAATCAAGAAGTGGGCCATTGCATTAATTTTTAATTAACAAACTAAAACGATTTTCGAGAAAATCTGTGTAAATCAATCTATAAACCCAAAAAAAATTGTGTGTAAGCACAAGAAATAGAAGCTTAATAATTAAAATTATTAATTTATTGATAAAGATAATTAAAATCAATTTAATTTCTTGAAATTTAATGTAACTTAATAAATTGGAAATAATTAATTTAAAAAAAAAAGATTTACATTAAAATAAAATAAAATTAACTAATCTGATTAAAAAAAGAGCTTCATTAGAGAGATTTTTCCTGTTTGGCAGTGGAAGTTTTCTGAAGCTGGAAATCACAAGATCTAAAAAAATGGACATAAAATTTAAAGTTTATTCTGTGAAGTTTTTCCTGTATTTTTCACCTAATACATTATACCAATTCAATCAATAATATCATTGATTTCATTACATCTGCCCCATGAGTTTCTTGTGAACCGTTAAAACCTCCACAGCCTGACAAATAATTTGCCGTTTTTCTAAATTATTCTGGGAAAATCTGTTTTTGCAGTTGATATCCAGAACAAGGATCACCAATCTTCTAGATGTGATGCCAACTTTAGTATTTATGACTCCTTATTTTAGAGAATCTACATAATCCCACTTTTCTATGACTGATTTTTTCCTTGCCCAAATTCTCCAGTGTGTGCTTGTAACGTTGACAGTTCAAATTGACAAAGTCAGTTAAATATTCAAGATTATTCATGTTTTAGGTGAGGCCTTGCCTAAATAACCGACCTGACTTGAACTTATGTCTAGCACAGAGTTTTTATGAACACTCAATTCTTTGGCTTTGAAATTAATGTGTTTCAGTTAAATTTGAAATTTGGTTTTCAATTTATAAAAATTCTTCATTGGTAGCAGAATTTCTTTCTTTCCAGAACAAAAACCTTATAGGCCTATAAAATGTTGTGGATGAGGTTCTTGGATTAGTCCAAATAATTTTCTGCTCTTCAGGATTCAGAATTTGAAAGATTATTTGCAATGGTACTAAGGAAGGCATTAAAATATTTGATTGGTGTGAAGCTGAAATGTTTTCACTAGCAAATTTTTGTGTATATGGAATATGACCTACACTTCCATCACAGCTGCATCTATAAATAACGTTTATATGATTCTCAGTTTGTGTTACACAATGATTAGTCTAGAAGAAGTTTGATTTAAAAGATTTTGCGGTTTGACTTTTATCTTTATAGTTTAGCTTTGTTCTCCGGAAAACATTTTACTTTTGCCTGAGTAATCGAATAGTAGGGGGGATATAGCCCCGTATTGTGCTCGCAAGCATTCTCCTGTTGAAGTACATATGGTTTTTTAGTCAATTTTAATTCAACAAATGCATACTTTTTTAAATTCCTGATACTTTTTACAGTGTAATGTGATTTAACCTATGCCTTTAGCAATATTGTATTTTCCAGTGGCCCTATAGCGTTCTTCCGCCACAAAAGCTAATTCTTCCTAATTTGTATCTTTCCCTGAATTTTGTACTTTCTTCTTGTAATTTAATAATTTTTCTCTAATCTGTTTTGTACACGGAGTGATTGATCCAGTTTGTGTCAGTAAATCAGCAATACTTTTTTTTATACGCTTTTAATTTCCAAATAGTGGATAGGCGATAATTACGATTTTGAACGTTTAAAAATTGAATTGGCCACTGTGAGTCTCAAAGATCTTCAATGGGGTTGAGATATAGCGATTGCAATGGATATTGAAATATGGTCTGGTTTTTCTCTCTAAACCACTCCTTCACTAACTTGCATGCATGTTTCGGTTCATGGTTCTTTTGAAATGGCCTCTCTTCTGCAAACGGTAGCATTGTATTTTCCAACATCTATTCGTATTGAAATCGGTCCATTTCATCCTGTACCAGGTCGAGAAAAACATCACCAGATCATTGTGGTCGCTCCTTCATGTTTCACAGTATAATCTTGCGCCAATTAATCTTTCCATCATCAGATCCAAATGAAAAATTCCAAACGATTCCATTCTAATTCCATACTGGTTTTTCGATTTTTCTATGGGAAATGTTCTTTTTACCAATCCACTTGTGACTTAAATGTTGTTGATGATTTTTGATGGTCAAGTTTTGATATTCTAAGAACTTTTTTATCAGTCCTGCAAGTACTAGAACTTTCACATTTTGTAATGTTATATTTAAATTACAGCACTTTTAGAAATATTCAAAGACTTTTTTAATATATTTTACATTTTCAATGTATCTACAATTTTTTGTCCGAAGTGAGATAGAAAATAACTATTTTCACCCATTTGCACTGAAGAAAATTATAAAAAGTTTTCATACTTATTTTCAAATTTATTATCGTGACAAACATTCCTTTACGTTTTACAAACATTAGCATAATATAAATTGGATATTAAAAAAAATATATAATATTGAAATTTCTGTAATATTGTCTTATTTTTGCAGGCTCCACCTTACACATCATGCCGAAGTGGCGGTAAAGGATAGATTATGATAGCCCCGTTAAACCATTTAAACTGTAAATATAAGTTCGATTTGTATAATTAAACGTTGGAGAGCGTTGGCTTCAAATAATACATTTGGTGGATTTAAGATTCATCCCTCTTTCTATTTTTTTTTTTTATTTATATCTGCATAATAGTTGTTGATCTCAGTTTGTCCCTAAAAATGAGATGCCATAATGTTTTTATTCCTTTTGCTCAATTTCACTTAATGTAATAATTGTTTCAGAAAACATATGTGAGAATATAGTTATATTTATTTTTTGTTCCTATGATATGGTATTTTTTTGATCTGATATTTTAATTTACATGAAATTTATTATTTGAAGCCAACTTGCTATGGACTCTTATAAGTAAACGGGTGTTTACTTTTTATAGAGTTCAAATAACAATTGATAACACACAAAATATTATGCTAATATTTTTGCTTGTAGTTGTCTATAATTTTTGTAATAAAATTTATTAAAGCAGGTATTGTTTAAATTGTTTACCGTCGATGATCTGTGTATCGGTTCTAATTTGTTCTACACAAGGTGATCCCTAATGCAGGAGTCAAAAGTCAAAAATTTATTGATTTATTTGTTAAAAAAAAAAGTCTACCTAACAGGCATGAAGCTCAAATAACAAGTAAGTTACAATACAGATTAGTATAAGTTATAGAGCAATAATTACATCACGAAACAACCTAAAAGTAGGGAACAAAGGATAATCTTGGGTCGAATATTACTCCCAAGTCTCATTTGAGAACCTTCATCAATAGCCTTAGACAGTTGACAAATTGGTAATAGTAAGGATTTTAAAACTTTTTAGGCTGCCCTAGTGTGATTTGAGATCTAGTCTTTCTTGCGCACGGTAACAATTTTAGCCATATACCAGGAATGGCTTGGTTTCTCATACAGCTTAAAAAGTATTACAAGGGGTTTAGCCAAAACAAAGCGCAAATCATGTATAAGGAATGCCGGAATTAAATCTGGATCCAGTGCAAATTTAGGTTTAATTCTTTTAAGAAAATTCTCAAAAGAAGATAATCTGCAATTCAAATACCCCGTACGCTTGCCCTGTACCATTAAACAAATATTTCTATTGGTGGACATTTTAATTCATTTATAAAAATTTATAAAATAGTAAATTATGTAGTATTACAGTTTAAACTGCACTGCTATACTATGTCATGTATTTTTATTATAGAAATCTTTAATGCAACTTTCTACCCCATTTGCGTACATACTGAGACAAAACTTTGATCGCAGTTGCAGAAAAATACGAGTAAGTGTTAATCGAATATCAAAACTTATTGGTCAATCTTCAAAACTGCCCAGCAACGGCAACATCGCGAGCACAGTAAAAAGAAGGTTGCGTGCAAAAAAGGGATCGGCGCTGCCGACACTGAAGAGAGACCGCGGGACGCTGGGTCTCAACATTACAACCCGTGCTAGCAAACGTTAAGCTTCGTTATTCATTTTCATATGTTTTTTCCTTTTTTTGTTAGTTGTAAAAGTTTGTTAAGTTGTAAAAGTTAAAAAATAAAGTCATCGAAAAATACAGTCCACTCAATCGAACAGGAATCAGCGCAGCAAATAACGTGGACCTACGTTAAAACCCACCACTTATAAAAAAAAAACCAAAACGTTTTTCATTCTTTCATTCCGCACAACCGTTTAACTCTGAAAGCACAGACCATAACTATTAGAAAACGTCTTTGCACGACACATCAAGGCCTTCTGACGTCATAATGTTACCTCACTGCTGTAACATCAGGATTGGAGCGCCATATTAACAAAAAAAAGTTTTTCTAGTCCCGTCTGTAAAATACCTAATTACATACCGACCTAGCCTGCGAGAAGCGTCGCTTTACCACGTCAGTTTCACTTCCCACGGATCCAAGCCAGTTCGTACATTTCCAGGATTTTACCGAACGGTTTTGGAGCAATCAGATGTTTCGGAGATTTTTCCCGCGGTTTGAATTTTGACGTTTGTCAATTTGTCTTGTTTTGCGAAAATGTACCCAAAAACTAACGGTCGTAGAAAAAGTATAGTATGCAACACGTTCGGTAAAAATTTAAACTCGTTTATTAAACACTCGCTCCGCTCGTGTCAAATAAACTGGTGAGTCAAATGCCGTTTACCGCAGTTGTTGCATAATATACTAATTTTCTACTCCCGTCTGTAAAATACCTAATTACCCATCGATTTAGCTTGCGGGAAGCGTCAGTTTCGTTTCATGATTCCGAGTCACTTCGGACTATTCTGGGATTTTACCGCACGGATTTGGGAGCAATCGGATGTTTTCGGAGATATTTCCCACGCTTTGAATTTTGACGTTTGCCAATTCTGACGGTCATGTCAGTGGATTTATTCGTGTTTTGCAAAAATGTACCCAAAAACTAACGGTCATAGAAAAAGTATAGTATGCAACACGTTCGGTAAACTTTTTAACTCACTCGTTTATTAAAAACTCGTGAGTCTAATGCCGTTTAACGCACTTGTTGCATAATATACTAATTCCCACATCAAAGTCTGACACATGGTTTGAGACATCAACTGTTGTTTCTTTATTTTTATTTGAAATTGTAGTAAATTGAAAGAAATTGAAGCAGAGTAGTCACAATTTTCTGGAGTACCACAAACACAGTCAATTTTTGGGTTATGTTTATTATATTAATTACACTAAAATGACAAAAGTGCCCTAAGGTGTAGCTCTCAATGACTATATCTCAATTATTTTCAAGAAACTAATCTTCGAGAACATTTTCTTTCCTCATGCCAGAACCTACAGGACCATGCTCCCATATCATACGATGTTTTTGCTTCATGTAAGCAAATTTTGCATTATGATATCCTCCAAGATCACCATCTAAAAAAAAAAGAACTAGAATAAAAGTTTTATTTTGTAAAAGTAATGCCCTAACTATGGTTACTGCAAATTTGAACATAAGAATTTGATGACTGAGATATTTACATTTTGTGAACCAATTTGCAGCAGCTTCCTCATATTGCTTCAACAGTCCAGTACATTTTTCAATATGATCAGGAGCTTCATATATTACACAGTCTTCAAATCGTGAGCGCAAAATGCTTAGAATTTCTGTATCTACTTTCCTAAAAATACCCATTTAAGTTGCTTGTATGTGATGGCGCTAGTAGAAATATTGAATAGGGTTGCTAAAAAAGTGACTTAAAACTTGACCCACCTATCCCTTCTGTATTGCTCATTGGCTTCAAAAATACAAACGACATCATCTGTGTAGCACTCATCAATTGTTGGCACTCTACGAAATTTTTGGTGGTACCACGGATATTGTTGTTGATTAGGCACTACAACTTTCTCTAGAATGGTAAACAATTAAAAAAAAACTCCTCCAAAATTATTGCCAAACCTCGAAACCAGGTTGTCGGACCATCTAGTACATTTGCTATTGCCTGAAAGAATCCTTCTATAATATTTCGAGGTTCTGCCTCTGGCATGTTGGTTTGAAATTGTAATTAACTACTTATACGAAAAAACTTTGTTAGCCAAAAGTTACATAACCCTATAAACTTTTTGGTTTATTTCTGTCCAAGCAAGGTGTTCTTCTTTTTTACTTTAGGTAGCTAACAATATCCTAGACACTCGCCAATTGTAGAGACTTTGGCGGGTTCTTCAAGGACAGAAAACCAGCGAGGATGATGGAACGATTTTGTTTGGTCAGTCGACCGAAAACGCCTCTTGCAGTGATGTCAGTATCCTATTCCAAAAAGGTGTCACGCGGTATTTATAAAGGAGAATCAAATAATTTAGCTGGTTATAGTTTTTCTGGATTATTTTACATTTTCCATTTTTTTATTTTTGCATCAAAAAATGGGATGGATATATCAAGTTTATTAAAATCTCTTTAGTAATTGAGGAGTAGGAGGGGTTTATTTAAACAAAATTGACCACCTTTCACTACTTTCTTTTAGTAGATGGTGCAATAAGTTTTCGTGGAACAAAGAACATTCGAATAATGCAAAGTGGATCTTTTTAAAAGTTCAATAGGGTCTCGACGATGGAACAGTTTGTAAGATACGGTACTTCGCAGACTTTTTTGGCCACCCTGACACACATGACGATGAATATGAAGAAGATATGTACTAACAAATTAAATACGTTTTCAAACACATCAGTTTGACGCAAGTTCTTTAACACTGATTTATTATTTGATTTAATTAATCTGATTTTTTTTCTATTAAAACCCAAAATGTATTTAGAGAATCAAAGACTATACTATACTATATACTTGTGGTTTTAACCACAAGAAGATTTCAGAGAAAATATCCAAAAAGAAGGAGCTCCGATAAAACACTTTTTGCAAAATTTACAGCAGCAACATTTTTGTAATTTAACCCTCTGCGTACTATTTACAAAAACCCAGGTTTCAGTTTTCTAAGGAGCCAACAGCATGATTAGCGCAAGTTCGATGGAACAACAACCCAGGGAAGTTTCTTTGAAAAATTAACCATCTTCGTAACTTCTATGATTTCCAATATTCACTGTATATGCAAAATTGAAAATTTGTCAAAAACGGCAAGACTTAAAATATGTTGTTATATACGCTGATTGGTGACCCTGTGTTGAGGTTTGTGCGGGAAAAACATGTTGTTTCTTTTCAAAATATTTTGAACACAAAGTTCAATAAGATGTTCCGATTTATTGTTCATTGAATTGTTACTTACTGTTTTTCTTTCTAATAATTTCCCATCACAAAATATACTATACATCATAATCTTCAGGAGAAAATAAGTCCGAAAGCAACCTTACATTTGACACTGTGATACTTCCTTAAATTTAAAACATAACTGAAGACATATCAAGAGATTTACCACTTGTCCAAAAATCTCTCAACTTCCTCGATCCCTCAAAGACAACATTGCGTTTCAGATACCAGGAGTCTACAGCATCTACCGAACGTTAAGGCAAACAAACTCATTAGCAGTTGCCAAACACCATCATCAAATCTTATTCGATAAAACTAAAGTTCTGGCATGTAATTAGTTCTTTTACCAAAGAAAAATTCAAGAATGTATAGAAACCTCTAAACCAAATAATATTAAACGCATCTCAGCTCCGGAAAGTAACGTTTGGACTCATTGAATATGATAAGGCTACAATACAAAAAAATGAAATTTCCCAAAATTTCTAGTACTAAGTTCAGATTTCCATCAATAGAATGTAAAACTGCTTCCTCAATTGCTGGAGTTCTTACAGACTGATGGGCCCCTTTTAAATAATTATTTGCCTTCAAAGTACCTGTTTCAATCAACATTTTATTTACATTTGAAAATGTCCATATGGTATGATTCTATTAGAAAAGCGCTCTTGATATAATCTTTTAACTTCCGACGTACTGCCATCAGGCGAACCTTAGATAAAAAAGCATATCTGCCACCTCCTCATTAGTAAATTCGACCATTCTTTTTTAAAATAACAATGCCCGGATATTTTAGAAGCCAAATTAATAAGACGCTAAGAACTGAATCTAGAAACTGATGTCAAACAACTGTCAAACAACCGGCTTGGCAGCAGAATTAATAATAATTAATAATGATAAGAAATAATTACATAAATTTCAAAAATACACCTCAGACTTCCTATTCCTATTTCGATTTTTCCAAGTATTTTAATAAAACCTATAGACAATTAAGTAAGAAATAATAATGATAATTATTCTCTGCATGCTGTCGTGTTAACGATATTGCTATGACCAGGCACGATATCGGATTGAAAAAATCAAGAAATTAATTTTTTTAAAAATGATTGGAGATTGTGAGAATAATTTCTATTTTAAGAGAAATCAATGACCTCTGGCGAAGTAGGTATATTTTCTTTTTAAAATGGACCCAAAAATCGCTCCCTAATTATTGGCATTCAATTAAAAAGCACCATGTATAAGCAGATACAGAATCCAGGAAAGAGAAAAAAAGTTTTTGACCTTATTGTTGATTCTCGGGTTTTGGGTTGGGGAAAATTCTGGCCATATTATTCATATTATCATGTAGAGCTTTGAATATATGAATATTATTTGTGTTGCACATGCCAGCTGTATTGAAAATTGCCTCTTGGGAAAACAGATTTTTTTTTAAACCATCAGTTTCAAAATAATGAGCCATCATAAATAATAAAGAAGTCTATATATATATATATATATATATATATATATATATATATATATATATATTTATATATAAATATATATATATATATATATATATATATATATATATATATATATATATATATATATATATATATATATATATATATATATATATATATATATATATATATATATATATATATATATATATATATATATATATATATATATATATATATATATATACATTCATCTTTTATTCCAAATCTCATTAGGGAAAGTAATTTAGAATTAAAAAAAAACAAGAATATAAAACAACATAATTTTAATAGTTTTAGCGTTTTTTACATTGGGGAAACGATTCCGTATTGGAAAAATTTCCATATACCCTTATAAACTGTAAAATTTTTGGCAGGGAATTATACATAATATACAGTAGCTTTGTCATTTGATACGGAATATTTGGGCTAGAGTATTTGATATTAAGAAATGTAAGAAGCATGTGATGTTAACAGGTTATTAGAGGTTTACAAAATTATATTCTAAAATTTCTAGGTGTGGTACATAATTTTGAGCTAAATTTGCAGGAGCATCTAGATATTGATCGCTGTATGTCAGATTTTAGTTATTTTGTTATAACAAATTCTGAAACCATCTGGTTTTAAATTTTACGTGTTTTTTTTTTCGAAATATTGCGGTATTCGTGTCGTATCTGATTTTCGTTAGACAAGTAAAATATTTCAGATGAACAACTGGAGAACAAAAGTGATTTTGGGCATGGTCATGACAACCGATAAAAAGTTATTAGATCCTCCAAAATATGAAACTACAAAGGGTACAACATCGTACGAACGCATGCACATACAGGAAAAAGAAAGAAGGTTATTGGGAGTTGAAAAATCTCAAAAATGGTTAACAGATAATACACTACGTGACGAAAAACTGAAACTGGAGAAGCATATGGTTACCGTATCACACAGTGGACAATTGGACGGCACTGGTTATCAATGTCGAAGTATTGATGGGAGGAGTAATGCACAGGAAAAGAACCATGAGGAAACAGGAAAAGAAAAGACTGAGAAACAGACAGAGAAAGAATTTAGAGAAAAAAACACAGGAAACGAAAATAGCCATCGAACTGAAAACACGGATGTTATATATGAAGTGGACAAGAAACCTGTATCTAATTCCTTAGTAGCAACAGCATCAAAGAACACCCCAACAGAAAGTTTATTAATTGAATTAAAGACGCCAGAATATGACGCCGGTGTTGCCTCAGATTTACTAGTTACCTCGAAAAGTTTAGCCCAATTTAATGACAATGCTGAAAAAACTTTTGCAGATGATATGGAACAAGTAAAAATTAAAAGGAATTATAAAAAAGCAAAATTAAGAGATCACGAAGAGAAATATTCTGAAGTAGTACGTAACAAAAATTTGCAAGGGCAGGTGGAACAATTTACAGAAAAAAAAGAAATTCAAAAAAAAGACGGACAAGGAGAAAATATGGGTAATATAATTAAAAGGAAAACACAAAAAGGGATTAAGGAATCAAAAGGGTCTAACAATCAGAAAGATTACTATAACAGCGAGTCATCATTGACAGACATGTCAGAGGAATCATATGAAAGCTCGGAGTCAGAATACATTCCTGATACAACAGATATAGAAGATGATAATTTCATTAAAAGTACATTTTTGAAGACTCCAAGAGAGAAAAATAATGTGCAATTAAATGGTTCAGATTTACCATCCACTTCCACGAGTTCATATAAACCGAATAGCAATACAGATCGAACTATTGTCAATTTCGGTAAATTTGTAGCGACCGAGTCAAAAATAGAAAACTATACAAACAGTAGGCCGTGGACAAAAAAAAAATACATGCCCATATTGCTTCAGGGATGTAACGCATTTTTCTCGACACATTTTAAGAAGACATAGAAAAGAAGGAGACGTAAAAGAACTATCCTCAATAAATTTAAAGAGTCCGAAGAGAAAACAGCTTATTAATGCTATACGCCGGCAGGGAAATTTTATCTCAAACACAAAGACGAATATCGTTCGTCCCGTCAGAAGACCAAAAGCGCAATACAATAATGACATAGAAGTTAATTCTGAGGATTTAAAAGAGAGATACGTTATTTGCCAGAGTTGTTTGGGATATTTTAGCAGAAATTTTCTGAGACGACACAGAAAAAGATGTGCAATGAGAAAAAATGTTTCAAAATTAAGTAGAGAACAACATTTATCACAGGCCCAGATGTTTGCCATTTGTACCAAAGGTGATGGTGAATTTTATGAATCGTTAAGATTAAAAAGAGAGGTATTTCCATTTATGAGAAATGATGATATATCTAAAACTGCCATAGAAGATCCTCTTATATGTTTTTACGCTGAAAGTTTACTTCGCAAACACAAGCGGATTCAAATAAAAAATGTTATCTCCAACAAGA